ATGAGCATTTTTTTGTTTTTGGTCTCAATGCGAGAGAGAAAGAATGAGCTAAAAGTACAGAGGAGTGACTATGATTAGAACCAAGACAAGAAAAGTCTATACGAAGAGAAACTTGGTTTCGATGAATCTCCTGAGATAGCAAGAATGAAACCCAGCTGTGATGATGTCCATCATATAATGGACGAAAACTCAGCACGTTTTCACCCGAAACGAGGGAGGAATACTCGTGGACTGCGTCAAAATGAATATAATATAAAATTAAACGGCTGCAGTACAACGATTTTCATCCGTCCTCATCTGGTGAGGTCGACAGACGAATCTCTTCTTCATGTACTTTCATTCGAAATGAAGGTCCCCCTAACAAGAAAAGTCTAGTTGCATCGTCTCCTTTTTGCAGGCGGCTCAACTCCCTCTCCATCCTTCAGCCTATTAATTAAGCACAAGTACTTTTTTCTTATCCTCTTGCCGGTATTCCTTACATTCAATGTATTTCCTATTCGGTTTATTTGGATGGCTTTACTAATTTTACGTTCAGCCGCAGAAATGATGACCTTTGCCGTCTTATATTCCCCCTCTATAGGGAATAGATACTATTGTTAAATATATAGTAGTATAATATATAATAATGTATCTTATATTCCCCCTTTATAGGGAATAGATACTATTGTTAAATATATAATAGTAATTCTTATTTTTAACCTCTCAGCCAAAATAATAGAGTAAGTCTAAAAACCGAGGTTTTTGTATAAACTGGTTGGGTTTAAAAAACGAGATGATTTTGTGGTGGCCAGCGTAAAATTAAAGACAATTGCCCTAAATGTGCTAGTTTGCATAAAAACGTAAGAAAACAACAAAATAATAATATTTATTTGTAACCTCTCAACCAGATAAAGTCCACAAACCTTGGTTTATATATATATATATATATATGATTTTATAACCCCCCCAGGTATTGTAATAACTAAATCCACCCTAATATAAGATAAAAACCTCGGTTTTTGCATAAGTTAATTAGGGAAGGAGGACTCCACTATTGGTCCCTAAATCACCTTAGGAGAACTAGGATGACTACGTTCTCTTCATCACATATTTTCACAATAAATGAACATCATGAGATTAATTAAAAATCAATTACTCTTCATACATCAGTTGCATGGTCGGTATCTTCAGATAAAATGGCAAATGCATTATAGCTTTATTAAGAGTAGCAGATGTTGCTCCATTAAATCTCCTTATCCTTGGAACTAAGATTATACCTCAATCTCCCTATCCCCCGTTCCATTATTCCCATATAAGGCCTCTGACTAGTCAAGTATACCGTAATAATTAGGGTCTTTTTGTTTCTAGCCACAAGTTTTGAACTTGTCCTTTCCTCTTTCCTCACCTTCGCTTCAATGGCAACTGCCCTGTTGTTTACTCGTGTTATCAGTCCTTCTGCCAGTCTAGCCCACGCTAACCATTTAGGATTGTGTGCTCTGGTCGGTAGGTCTCACGTCCATGTATTCACTTCATAGGCCTATCTATAAGTTTTCCTAGGGGAGGTGGCTATACTTTTTCGGGGTGAGGCTAAGTGAAGTTAATTGGCATCGTGGGGCCTTCTCATTTTATTGTGGAAAAATTCAACGATCAGTTTCTTTTATTCAATCTGGCTGGAAAGTCTCGAAACAAACTCACCACGTATATTCCACTAGCATTGCCTTAAAAATGAGCAAGGGCCTTGCTAATTCTTATTTTTCCCAGTCTTCTATTAATTATGTCCCTTTAGAGGAGAATTTTTACTGCTTTCCTCAGCTTCAGGGTAACAGGGATTTCCGCATATTTATTCAGTTTTTTACTCGCAGTCCCAGTAAATCTGTGACTCATCCGTACAATTGCATCCGTGGTGTTATTTCATTTCTACGATGGTCGTATGATTTATTTTTCCAATTCACTTTTATTTACATTTGCTGTATTTAATAGTGTAAACCTGCGAGCAACTCATCTTGTTCCTAATCCCGAGTTGCATGGGTAAGCTTGTAAAGTGTGAGGTTACTTCATTAAGTTTAAACAATTGCTTCATTTAATTAATAGTGGATGCAGCTTTCAGTCCAGATGGCTGGAGGAGGTTAAATGTACCAGTAGAGTTTCGCCTTGAATTCGGGTCCTTTTACATACCTCGAATATCCCTCCCCAGAAAACCAAAACGGTATATGGTGGTCATAGTGCTTTCAGATTTTCTATCAAGTTCCATCTTTAATAGTGAGCCGTCATGCTCCTCCTTTGTCCAGTAAACTTTCTTGCTAATCAGAGTACATTTCCTATATCTAATGGAGACTATTTTAATAAAGCATAATGTGCTCATTTCACCCATTATTTTCACCCATGATAGAAGGTGCATTCTAAATCAAACTTCAGGACTCAACAGCTGATTTGCACATAAGTTTGCCTATCTAATTTCGTACCCCAATGAATTTCCATACATTTATTTATCACTGAATGAAGCTCGAATTACCTCTTGCCCATTTTCTCTCGTTAAAGGTGGATCCACATACTCTTCCGCTGCCTTCGATTCCAAGATTTGCTCTGGCATCCACTTCATTTCGACATTGTCGTAAGTTTGGATACATCAACAGAAGGGCTCCTTTCTGTCATTAGGTAAGAGGCCAAGCGAAGTGGTGCTCTGGTAGTATACCATCTATCTTACAACCGTCCTTCAAATTAGCGCTATATCCATGAAATTTACAATACCAATTTTGGTAAATTTAAGTCATTTAGGGCGACATTATGACTCACAGTTGAACCCTTAGTTATAATATGAATAGATCTCACGGTGCAAGTGAATTTCGCTTAGTACTATTCCCAAAAGGTATTCTCATTGAGGCTAAACTGAAATTTCGGCCTCGCCTTGTTCTCTTCAGCATACCCAGCTGAAGGCGAATCCGACTAGTACAGCATATTATTCCGACATTTTACCATTAAAACACTCTGCCGCTTTCGAAAGTATCATTTGCTCTTCAATAAGAGTTCGTGCGATGGCCTACCTTGCCTTGAAATCCGTATCTGCCCTGAGTCACGAAATGGACCGCTTCGGCACTTGATGCCACATCGCATTCACGAAGCCCGTTCGTGCTGCTGCTATGTCCTTGACAAGGTGGAGATTACAGTTCACCCTGGATTAGGAGATCATTTGGTGAACTTTATTTAATAGTGAGAAATTCATTTAGCAATATTTAAATTATATTAAGCGACCTAAAGTGACTCATATTCATATTCAAAATAGATTTGTAGTTTAGAAATTTACCTATTTGGCATATATTTTATAAACGGTATTCTGATCATGGTCTACCAGCCCGTCATTCCAGTTCATGACGGTGACGTGTCTCTACATTTCGAAGAAAAAGTTGATTCAAAGGAATTCGTGAATTAGCCCTCAGTGAGCCGAGGGTTTTTTCGCAAAATCTAATGGTTTTCGGTTTTTGATCAAACCAATTTACGACTTCTTTTCATTCGAAACGAATAGTCATTTGACCCTAATTCACTAATAAATTCTTCGAAACCCAGTATTTGTTCATATTCTAGCTCATGTTTCCGTGTACTTCTTTCCGCCCTGGTTGTCGTCCCAGAACTCGCACTGGTCTAGTGACACCGGACATCACCGTCTACACAGCCAATACTAGCCAGCCGGAGGACCAACTGCCACTTGGTCGAACTTTGTACGAGCTCGGATTCCAGAGAACCCTAGGACCCCGACACAAGGCGCCCGAAGTTCTGCTCTACTACCTCCCGAAAGGTCCACTACCTCCGTTAATCCGATTGCACTCAACCCTCGAGGATCCACCATGTCATCGTCTGATGGAAGCAATATCTGCCTGTCCCCTCATCTGGGACTCAACTTCGTCCGGTGTCCGAGCCACCATCATTTTGGCCAACGACAAGAATGTGATGTACCGCCCAGGTGTACGGGCCCTGGATACTTGTCCCAAGGTTGAAGAAGAAGACGAAAAAGAAGAGGAAGAAGAGACTGGCAAAGGCGGGGTGGACCACTCCTGTATTGACTATGAGTATCATCACTCTGATCGAGTGGCTGATCAGAGCAGCTTCAACTCCAAACAACACCGTTCTGAATACTTGGGCTTGAACCCCTCTCAAAAAGATATACAATCAGTTGGATTGAACCGGATCAACGCGACCGATCCATTAGATGCAAACCTGGCAGCTCGAGTTGCTGATATGCTGAACATCCTCTGAGTTGTTATTTACCAAATGTTCCACCCTCTCTGTCACTCACTTTTTGCCATCTTTCATCGATAGCTCTCTCTTCCTTCGGTCTCACGCCTACTTCCCTAATCTATCAGCCTCTGCATTTGTCTTTCTCGGGCTTGTTTACGGGCGAAATCCTGCATAGATTTGGACTCGATGGTATTGGGCTTAATAAACAACAAATTTCATGAATCAAAATTTCTTTCCACCGCAAGTACGATCCTTCATTCAGTCAGCTTTGATCTTTACCACAACACCAAAGTAGAACTCAACTCCTAATCCGCTTAAGATAGCTTAGGTCATAGTCACAGGATACTGATTATGCAACACTCTCCTCAGTGTTGCTTTGCTCTTATCTCAATTGGGCGTTTCGGCTGACGCAAAAAAAGTATGCAGTACTCTCGGAAATTTCAATTTTTCCGTTTTGAGTGAAAGTGTCTGACGAAGGGGTTCGAAGGTCAGTCCCACCAGAATACGGTGGATCCCTCTTGGCCAGCTGTCAGTTGGCTCTTCCGATGAATTCTTGCTGACCCTGTCCTCGAGGCAATCCTCTTCGATTCTAGTGAAAAAGTGATCAGTCTTCGTCCATCATATGACAGATATCAGCAGAGTTTTCAGATTGAAGTATGGGTTAACTTATTTTGTATTTCATCAAAATGCGTGCAGTTAGAGTATATATAACTTGTCAGCTTAACTATGTGTTGTAAGAATGATGAAAAACTGTGATTATATCTGTCATATGACGAACGGAGGCCTAGCTCTTTTTGCCTGAGTCGAAGTAGATTGACTTAAGAGCAGCGTGATCAAGAATATTTTAGCAAAGCCAACAGACAGGTGGCCAATCCAATCTGGAGTGATCTATCTTCGAATTCAATCAGCACACAATTTTACTAAAAATTACGTGGCCTTACCAATTACAAATCATGAAATACCTCGAAACCTAAATTTTATTCAGATTTCATTTCTCATCTCTGAGAATATGCTGTAGATTCATGCTTTTTCGTTTGTTATGCGAAATATGGCCTTTGCCGCTAAATTTTTCATCTACTGTTTGCGTTCTTCTTTCTGTTTACTTTCGTATTTTCAGCATTTACACTCTCTTGGAACATAGTGCGCCATAATGCAAAATTGCATAATTTTTACTTTGTTCGTAGCGCCCTTATTTTTACTACCTGAATTTTGTCTAATTTTTCCCAAAGTTCTCCTATTAACCTTGTATGAGATCAATTTCAGATCAGTATTGTTTGCCTTCTGATCTCGTATCACTCTTTCGCTCTTGCTTTCTTCCTTGATCCGCACCACGTTATTTGCCCACTTTTCCTGCCATGAATCATAAATGCTTATACAAAGTGGAAAAGAATTTAGAAATTGCGAGGGCTTCTGGCTGATCATGATGCGCCCTGGATGCCGTACGTACTATACTGGAAAAGACAACTGAGAGCAGAGGCATTTGGAACAATGTTGGACCCAAAGGCAGTGGTTAAACTTCCTAGTACTTTTAAAATCCTATATTGGTATTGTAACCTTTAAAGAATAAATTTTACATTTAAAAAATAAATAAACATAAAAATAAAATAATAAATAAAATTAAGTGTATAGTAAAATCAAACCAGTTAAAATTTAAAGAATAGCTGGTGTCTTTGGTCTCTAACCTTACTCCTTCCTACCCTCCGGTTGGTTTTTTATAGCATAAATAATTAAAGTTGAAGGTAAGACTTGATTTTGCAAGTTAATTCCCTTTTCGTTTTTATTCTAAATATACTTACCCATCCGAGCTTGGTTGGAGATATCATTCCCAAACTAGGATTTGAACCCCCTCTT